ACAGCTGAAGGACGTAATACAGGGTATATAGATTTTAACCTTTCCTCCTTTCTCATTCTTCAGTGGTTCTGTGATCTTTCTTTCCGAGGTATGTGTAGAAGAACTTCCTCACTGGATGCAAAGGAAGTATGTTTTACAATCTTCTAGGCCCTTTTCCTTAATGTCACATGTAGTAATGCGTTGCTAGTTTAAAACCAGAAAATTATTAATCTTCTCAGCATCGTTGGGTAGTTGCTAAGAGAACCCAAATTCCAAATCCGAAGACCTTGTCTGAGGGTAATTAAGCTGTGAATTTGAGTGTCAGTGCTTATAAAGGAATTAGACATAACCACCTGTTCTTTTGTGAAACCTGTTAGGAAAGAGTGAGATTTTAAAATCAATCAGTGCAGTTTTATCGGGTCACTTTAACTTAACATTGGTATAACTTTTTATTTTACATTCAACATTTGTTCATACTGGGTTAGCATGTGCAATGTCCAGGTGCTATTTTTTTTCTTTTTGCTGTTTATGAAAACTTTCCATGTGCTGTTGAGGCTATTCTTTCCAAGGCTTTGTTTTTCATCTGCAGTATTCCTGCTTGTCACTTGCTTGGCACCTAAGGTGTAGATAAAGTCTATACTCCAGCCTTCCCTTCACCTACATATATGAAATTCTGCTAACTTCACTGACAGAATAAGATCATACAAGGACCTGGTGCTTCCACAGGTAATGGCTAACCTGGCAGATGCCTTATGCAACAGATAAAGAATGATTTAAGAAATATGTGTGACATGACGATTGAAAATAAAAGAATAATTTAAGGAAAAGCACGTATTGGTAAAAGGATAATTATTGCTGGCTTTGTTTGAAATGTATAATGAGTCAATTCAACTACATCAGTTTAGGTGTCATACAAAATTCACCTGACAACTATGTTCCTTTATTGGCTTTGTAGAATTGACATTAAGCATTCTTAAGCTGGCATGGCAACATGTTGGTTTCTTTAGTTAATTTTGTCATACAACTTTCGTACTGCTTAAACTAATCATTCCCTTGGGTTAATCTTGACAGTTAGTGGAATATAATATGGCAACTGTTTGCACATTTATGAAAAAAAAATATTTCTGTGTTGTGTTAATTGCTCTTGATATATTAATTTTCATCCTTGCTGGTCAAGTACAAAATGAACTCAGCTCTTCAAAGGTGCAATTCAGTGAAATACTCAAGCATGTACTTAACTTTAACCATATATACTGTTCTGGGACTACTTACTAGAAGTACACAGATGCTTAAATGTTCTGCTGAATGTAGTAACACTTAAATTTAAAGAAATATGGGTATTTTGCTGACTGAAGCCCTCACAGATAAATCATCCACCCACTCTGAATGTATGCTGTTGCGTACACCACAGTTATTTTGAGAACCCTTAGATGGACAGTGATGAGTCTCTGAACATAAATACTAGCCACATGACTCATGGTGACGAGGGAAAGTCAGACTGCATGTGCAGTAGGAAAAAGCTCTGATTATGATAGGCTGGGTTAGAATAAACTCAAAATCATCCAATCATCCTAATTTCAGCCATTATCTTCTTGTTGACACTTTGCTTCCTCATCCTCCCCCCTCCACTGCTGGTTGTTGTCATACAGATTGTCACATCTAAAATTAGCGTTTTGAGAAAAGAGCCAGATCTTTGTAGCCTGTTCTGGAAAGACCTTAGCATATAATAAAGTGCTATAAAACCACTTAATGTTATTTCTATTGTTTTAAAATGTACAATGTGTGAGATATCATAAGAAAAACAGACCACCCCTCCTCAAGCTCCTCCAATAGCTCCCTTAAACTCTTCCTCTAGCTCATGACAGTACTAGTCATATATACAGGGGGATTAAAACTAGGGGCTCTACCCTATTAAACTCACTGCCTTTAATTTTGTGCAGGTTATCTGATAATTTACTTAAAAAAACCCCAAAACACCAAAACCACAATAAGACCATAGAGTCCAAGTGGCATGTGCTTCCCTTTATAAGTATCAGTGATCACTGATTACATTTTTTCCTCTTGGTATTCCTGTGATACCAACTATTCAAATGGCCCAATTAGCCTCTCTTTTACCATGTATTACTCTTTTTGGATATCATGAAAATGAAGTGCAGGGCACATGGGCACCTGTTGATATGTTCCACTTTCATGTTGCCGATTCCCACCAGACAGGTTGTTCAGAATCAACTTTGCCGAGAGATGAGCTTTAAGGATAAAATAAAAGGCAGAACAGTTAAAAGGCAATTCACTTCACAGCAGAGTTATTGAGTTATACTCAATATATATTATATATATAACATAATTATACTATTTCATTGTAAAATAAAACTTGTCTTTGTGTGTTACCTATTACTTAGTTGTGTTGCTCTACCTTTTTCCTTCCGTGCCACTCCAAGCTAGACTGCCCTAGTCTGTGTCTGTGCCTTGCAAAGGAAACTTCCTTCCTCACTTCCTGTGACTGGATACTGGAAATCAGGTTCCTGCCTTCCTTCTTCCCTTTCTTTCTTTCTTTCTTCTTCCCTGATTAATCTGATAATAATTTCTACTGTGTACTCTAATTATCAAACATTTTCTTCTCATTGTTTTTCCAGTCTCCTGAAGGCATGTTAAACTAAACCAAAAATTATGAGAAATATTAAATGCATTATCTTATTCCTAGATTACAGCAAATATGAAGTCTAAATAATGACATTACTATGGCACTCATAATCTGAAGAAGTATGTCTCTCACACACAGATCCTTCTTTTTTTGCCTTCAAAACTTTACAGGTTTTATTCTATGAAGTCTGTTAAGCACTTTGAAAGAAGGGTGGCTTGCATAAGGTGCAGGTCATGCACATGAAAGCAGACTAATTATGCTAACCTTTAAACAGTATATTTGAGGTAAAACTTTTCAATGTGAAAATATGATAATATTAATCATGTTAATTTCAGTAGGAACTGTGGATCTATCATAAATAGGATTATTTTATGTGCTATTCTACACACCAAATGCCTATTCCCAAATGCTTACAGTTTGCATAAGGAAATCTAGGCTTAAAGGAAAAGAAAAAACTGTCACCTACATAAGCACTGTGAAAAAGGATGGCTGCCCTGCTGATACTGATACCACTTGATTTTTTATTTTTGCGTACTGTCACTTTTTTTTTTTTTTTGAGAGTTGAACCTTATGAGCATCAGCCAGTCCAGCAAAGGTGGTAAGCATGTGTTCGGCTTTGACCTAAGTGGGAACATTTATCTGCTTATTTTACAGACAACTAAACAGTGTTCTGAATTATTTGTGGAATTCAGAGCCTGCACTTGCTGCCCTTGTCAATTTACCCTTTAACTTCACTAGGAAGAAGATCAGATACTTTGTCAAAGTCTTTCTTTGTTTTTTAAAAGAGTAATTAAAGTTTTCTGTCTTTCTCTCATGCTATTTCAGAGCTTGGCTTATAAAACAAGGCTCGTGATTGAGTTCAGGTGTTACAATCTTTTGCTGCTGTTTAGTGTGACCTACTAAAAGTGTATTTTCTTAAAAACATGGCTTTCCCTTTTTGCTTTTTTTCCCTGTAGATATTACATTTTTGTATGGTTGAGGCTGTTTTCTTTGACTCGATTTTTTTTTCCTTACATGTGAAATGTTTTGAATCAGATATACAACAGTCTGTGTCCTACCAGAGGAACTGAAAATTAAAATGGTCTTTCATGCTGAGGTTGAGGTAGTGTTTCTGTTTTACCTTTTTGTTTCAGTCCTGGTGCAAAGCCTGAGGATTCAGATTTTTCCAGTATTATACTGTTCTGACAAGTAGAGCTAAAAAAATAATAATTCTGTCTATTTGAGACAGTGTGTAGTCAGCTGTCACCATATTAAAAAGTTTACAGTTTGGCTGCTTATTTTGATTGGATCCCAGTTACGTAGCATTAGAAAGCAGATGTTCCTGGTGTAATCTGATAGTAATTTTTACTCTATTTTCTAATTTCTACTCAAGGATAGATGATTTGATGAGACCAAGGCCTCTGTCAAACCTGCACTCTACTCAACCTTAAGCTGATCCCTTGACCTGAAAGAAAGAACAAACAGTTCTGCAGTAAAATTGTTTCATTGTGTGCTGTACCTTAGTTGTGTTTAGATGAATACAGAGAACCAAGATCATTTTGGATAGTCTTTTTTGCCCTTGCTAAGCTTTATCTATGGTCAGAAAATAATTTTATAGCAGGTTTAAGCACACATTTTTTAAGAGAAAATTGTAATAGAGGCTTGTTGGCAGTAACAGATTATGGTAGGCTGAAAATGTTTGTAATGAGAGTTGAGATGTAGAGGGTACTAAATGAGGAACTGGAGCTCTGAAGGAAAAGGTACCAGTACCAAACTCAGTTGCAGCACATGGTAATTTAAGAATTTGTCACGACAAAAGGTTTTTGCATAGATCAGTAGACGTGCAATTGGAATTAGAGACTGATTTATCCGTGAGATACAATAAATCAATGGTTGTTCCTTCTTTTTTATGTTGTTGATGTTTGTTTCTTAAGTGCCCCAGATTGTGGTAGATATCAGAAAATGTTCTGTGCGTAGCCCTCTAATTCTATAAACCTCTAACCATTTTGTGCAGTCTATTGGTTAAACACCAACACAGGCACATGAACCAGGTGGCACTGTATTTCTCAGGCTAAAAGCAAGGAAGTTAAGGGGCTTGTTCATGCTAATCTATCCTCTTTTGTGATTTCTTTAATTGTTCATTATTTTAATTATTCTACAGAAGTTGTAATTTGTGGTTTTAATAGTACTTTTAAAGAACTTGTGAATAAATGTATTGTGAATAGATGTTAGTTTCACTATCGGTATCAATACTTTTATGATAGGTTATGATGGTAACCCTGCTTTCCCCCCCGAGATGTTAGGTGCTGTACTAAATACTCAATGAAAATAAAAGAGTGTTATCGGCAGTTTTGTTATGTCTGTGTCTAACTGTGTCCTTACTTTCCCTCTGGTTTTACAGGGCACAACGACTACATGTGTCCTGCTACTAACCAGTGCACCATCGACAAGAACAGAAGAAAGAGTTGCCAGGCTTGCCGACTAAGAAAATGCTATGAAGTGGGAATGATGAAAGGTGGTACGTACACAGCAATCAACAAATCCTCAGCATTGCTGTCTGCTTTCCTGTCTTTTAACTTCACTGGACAGCTGATATGGTTCCTAAAGGAGGAAGCAACTAGTTTTATTGAGCTGAAGTGTGTTAAATCATAGAGCGATTAAATAAAGAATAAAAAACTCCCAAATACCATGTTATTAATCTTACCCAAATTTGCACCAAAATTAATAGGAACGTTGACTTTGATGGAGTTAGGATTCTTCTGTTAATATTTTTAATTCATTATTTTTTTGGTCTCTCATGGTAGACTCCAGATCATGATGAATGAAACTTAACCCAAGATTTTGCAGCATTTTGCAATTCAGTGTGAAAAGTACTGGTAGTCTCAGAAGAGTACATATTAATTAAAATAAACTTCTGAATATGTAATACTTTTTCTGTGAATTCTGGAAGGGAAAGTCTATTCCTCCATTCCAGTACTGTACATGCATTTTATATGTGAATTAATTTCACCCAACAATATTAAAGGCTCACTCAATTTATAAAAACTGAGATAAATGCCACTTTCTTGGAACATACTTATGTAATAGTGATGTCAGAAAAGAAGAATCAGATACTGAATGCTTAGGCTGAAGGAATACCACTAAATTACTTTATTTAGATACACAGTGTTTAACTTTTGGAGGCAAAATTAGAAATACATGACAATATTGAAAAATTGCTAAGGTGTGTTCTTAGATGGCAGAGTTCTTTTGTAACAGTTTTGGAACAATCATGATACCTGCCTTTCTCCTCTATGTTACAGTACCTGATGTTTGTCAAAAGCAGACAGTTAGTCATTTTTAATCCTTTTGAAAAAGCCATGCTCCTAAGAATCAGGAATATGTAAGAACAGGAAATCATAAAGTTTCATATTCGCTCTAAAGCAGAAGAAAACCTTGTTGTAGCCTACTAAAAATTTCAGACTGCTTTTATTAATGAAAAACAATCACTAGCTTTATTGAAACCTACTTCTATAGGAAAACTTAACAAACTAGTAAGTGGTCAGAAGAGAAAGGATTAGAACCCATGACTTATGTGTGAAAGGAGCTAATTGTTAAATTACAGATTGGTTCTCCCTTCCTTTGGCACACCTAATGCTTACTTATTCCACAAAAAATCTGGGGCTAGAGAGAGGAGTAGCTCATCATGCTTATCCTTCCTGCAACAAAGGATTGTTTGTAAGTCCAGTCTGTGGAGTCAAGGTAGGCAAAGTCTGGGAATCTTGGGAGAAGGAGTAAAGGGGAAAGAGTAATGGAAAACTAGTCTGTTGCTGCACTTTGAGGCTGAATCTACATTTTTCTCAACTCAGGGATTAGGCAAGAGCTGAGACTGATTTTGTTAATCTCAGTTTTGGGATGCAAGCAGGAGGAAGGTGTCAAATCTCTTTTTAGTTCTAACACTTAAGACAGTAGATGATTTTCTTCATAAGGTTTAGTTTATGGATCCAGAGTTTTCTTGTTTCTGTCTTAACATCCTGGTGTATACGGCTAGAAATCTTTAAAGTAAAATGTATGTAGTTAGTATCACAGCCATGGTCTGGAGAAGTTAAAGTTTGAGATAAGACAAACTAAAATCAGGAAATTCCATACATAAATTTGCCATGCAGCTTTCACTTCGACCTTTGTACATATGGTAGATCATAGTTAAAATATATCATTATGTTTTATGTTGATGATATTACATCTTTCCTTTGGCACGTTTCCATCCATTTATACTCATACGTATTTAATTAGTGTTCCACTGTACCAGTTTGATGTTTTTCATACCTCTTCTCTAAGATACATGATGTAATAGGTTTTTCACTATTCCATACATAATTGTTTCAATCACATGAAAATGGCACAGAATTCTCAGCTAGCATTCTGTAGATTAAAGAAGTCTAAATAAAGGCTCCAATTTTGCCCAAATTTTATTTCTAATATAGATGTTCTGGAATTTTCATTTCATACAGTGGCCGTCACCTGACTAAAGTCCTGTGGATTTCAGTCTTTCCTTTTACAATGCTGTAAGATTTCTATAGTCACTACAGCAACTGGTAGTTCAAAAATAGTTGATGTTGTATTCGTTTTTTGGTTGGTTTTTTTTTTTTTAAACTTAGCTCACAATTTACAAACAAGATCAGATGCATAAATTCTGCCTGCTCCTATGGGGCCACTAATAATGCACTGAAGTCCACCACTGGATCATAGGCAAGAGTTTAAGAATATTTATTTTATGAAGTCTGAGTAAGATTTCTCGAGATCCCTCAGTTGCAGGTTATAAATCTAACATGCCTGCAGATGAAGTATTCAAGAAAGGTAAATTTAATGTAGGATAAAGTAAAGCATTAAATGTTCTGCTGAATTCATTACCTATCCCGTATTGTCCACATAGCTGTGGGAGAAAGAAATCCTTTTCTTTATGTAGTACCTGATAATTGTCACATTTCTCTCAGGTGAAAATGAAGATTAAGTAAATGTTCATGGTATGCCATCTGGTTAACTTCTAAAGTGTTAACTTTTAAATGTTTTTAAATATTTTTGGTTGTTTTTTTGTTTTCTCCAAGGAGATCTCTCAGATCTATTAAAACAGAAAAGCTTTTTATAATAACACTTTCCTTCAACATACTTGAATCACGTAGCGCTGTGGTTAACTCACGGTCCACTTTTTTCTCTAATAATTTATAGTTCTCTTGATTGAATCTTTTAATTTAAATAATCTCCTTTTGTTCATATTGAAGGATTTGCCTTGTTTGAAGGCATTAATTTTATCATACATTTGAAAAATATTCAGTTGTGTCATGTCTCAATTGAGAGAGACACAATTTGCTTATGATGATGTACCTTTTAGACATAGTGGAAAACAGCCGTAATCTTTCTTTTCTCTAAAGGTAATATCAGTTTTCCTTCTGCACTAAATTAGCTGAGGTTGCTTAATAAATTGTGAAAGCTGCTAACTCGTGCCTTTTATCCGTCATTTAACTTCTGGGCAATAGCTGATAGTAATTATTGAGTTTCAGTAAATACGGAGGAAGCTAGATAAAATCTTGATTAAATGCCTCCGGTTAATTTTAAACATAGGTTATAAGCTATGGTTGCTGAGGTTTTTCTCATAGAAGATCACTTAATTCAGCACAAAGAAGTTCATATATATTATTTTTAACAGAGTGGACACAACTGAAATATGGTTTTGGGGCTTCATTCAGAAAAAATGCAGGCTTCAAGTAGCTCTTGAGCTGTGCTGTAGGAACAGTTATTTATGAGTTTCTGTGGAAATTTTATCATTTTTTTCCCCACTGTTCTTTCATCTTTTAAAAACTTCTTTCAGTACTGAAGAATTATTTTCTTTCTCTCCTCTTATGTTTGCAAGTGGTTTCTTCTGCATCTGTTACTGTGCTGCTGCTTCAAGAGACGATTAGACTGCCAGAATCTCTGCTGATGTAGTCAGAATCTGAGGCAGAATTTATAGCTGCTACATTTTGTCCAAATGCTTCACTCTCTCTTTCTGAATAAGTCAAAAAGACCTTAAAATTGTATATTATTATTTAGTCTGTGCACCCCTTTTGTATGTGAGGATAAAGCGGTCAGATTGAATAAGCTCCTTGTCACATTCCTCTTTCTTCTGGTAGGGTAGCAGGGAAGAGCCTTGTTTTTGTTTGTGAGCCACTGATGCTTTCTTGAAGAATGTTTCTGTTCTGGTTTGGAGAAGTATATTCCAACTTACTATTTCACATGATGGGGAGTGCCAGCTTCCAAATGGAGTTTTTACAGCAGCTGCAATCCTGAAGCTCTAACTGTATGTATGGTCCAGGTGATCTCTGCTCCAATACAGATCCAGTTTTCCATTTCTTCATTGTTTTAATGGCTTTCTGATGACTTGGCTCTGAAGGGCCTTATTCTCTGAAATCAAAAGCAGATTATTTTTATTGTTATTTATTAATTATTTTTATAGTGTGTTAAATGAAAGGGGATTTCTAGTTACTAGCATGCTACATTCTTCCTCGCCTTTCATGTGTGACAAGGCAGATTTAACATCAAGTGCTCAGTAGGATCAAAGCAACAGAGTGCTAGTGGACAAAAATTTGCCATAATGTTAAATGCTGGATCCTTAATGAAAAATCAGTTATTGACCTGGTAGTCCATTTTTAGCCACCCTAAGACCTACATAATTCTCTTAATTGTCGAATGCTGATGGTTTCCCAACCTCAAGTTCTATGAAATGTGGCGGTCAAGGATTTGAGTGCTCGTGTGTTAGATCCAGATGGAGATCATGTATACGACCAGGGGTTTTTACTGTCTTTGAACAGCCTAAAATTTCGTGTTGTAGAAAGAAGATTCTGAGTGCTGTTTCTAAGATTCTGAGTGTTGTTTCTTCTGATAATGAAATTACAGCTTTACAGCACACTTGAAGCCTACAGCCTTCAGTGTTGCCCTCGCAAAGTATCTGAGAACCCTCCAGAGATTACTGTGGTACAGCCTAGGGAATAAAAGTCTGTGTTTGCCATAGCAGTGTGCTATAACTACATGCCAGGTGCCTGTAGAAACGTTCATTAAATTCTAGAGATTGGAGTCCAGAGACTGGAGGCTTTCAGTTTTTCTCTTACATTCTCTTGAAATAGTTACCCACCTGTAATGACATGGGAATTCAGGCTGGTTCAGTGTGACAGTGTTGCTGAAGTTTAAGATAAAATTTTACAGGGAAAAGAAAAAAACATTTGGCAAATTTGACATCCTCCCAGAAAAGAACCTTGCTGAGTTTTGTCTTTAAATGGAGAGTGCTATGCTTCCTTGCTGAATGCTATATTTGTTCCTGCTAAAAGGCTAGAAAGTTATTAAAATAATTCTCAAAAGCAGAGGTAAATCGATTTCTGATGCAACCACTGGAAGGGCTCCAGACATTCTAGTTTTCCATGTAATTATCTTTTAATGAATAATTATATTAAAAATAGAAATTAGTGAAGGAAGGAAGATGGATTAACAATGTAAAGCTATTTTGGTTTG